AGCCCAGGGAGCTGGGGAGGTGACGCCAGGCTGGCGCCCCCGGGGAGTGAGGCTGCCGTCCTGGGTTGGCCTGCAGGGGCAGCACAGGCTACGGGGATCTGGACCAGGGACAGCTGGCAGCCCCAGATCTAGGTATTCCTTCTCAGCTTGACAAGCGGCAATGCCTCTTGGCTTTCTTTCCCGCCGCCTACCCCCTCCCCTCGCCACCTCCAGAGTTGGTTCTGGGATTTCCGTGACTAATCCCAGATTTTCCTTGAAATGGAGCCTGAAAGGATGGCAGCCTCACTCACACATGGGTGTGTGTCTGTGGAGCGGTGGGAGGGGCGGGGCAGGGGAAGGCGAGCCCTGGCTGGCAGGACTTTGTGGGAAGAGGTCACGGACCCGCAGGCCTCTCGCCTGCAGAAAGTGGGCTTAGCAAAGACCGCCCCACTCAGGCCCAGCTAAGCTCCCTCAAGCCACAGAGAATAGTAAAACTTGGGGGGAAGGGGGGAGGGCGGGTGCAGCACATGATTTTTCTGCAGACAGCTCAAGAGGATTTAAAACTTAATTTGTATCCAGACTCAGCTGCAGAGGGAAATGAGGCAAGAAGGCTGAGGGAGCCAGCCTGCGATTAAAATGTCGCTTGGGTTCACCAAGAGTCGGCTGCATTAAAAATTCCGGGTGGCTCCCTCCCACCCACGAGGCCACAGGGCAGGTGTGAGAAGATCGGAGAAGGGGACATGGGCTGGACTCACATTTGCCCATGTGTTTCAACTTGTCCCTGAATAAGGCATCTTCAGACACGGCGGGGTTGGCGTCATTGGTTCCTGGAAGGGGGAGGCACCTCTGAGGGCCAGCTAGAGAGAAGAGTGAAGGCCCCTGCCCTCCACCCTGCCGCTCGGCTAATCCGAGTCACATTGTTCACTAAGTCCCCTGTGAGTCGTTCTGATCCATCTCAGCGGCCCTGGTGTCTATAGTTAATTCAGGATCATGGACAGAGGCTGCTGTTAAAACCCTCAGATGCACATCTGGTGGGGCTTGAGCTCCAGCCTGTTGCTTATGAATCAGTTCCACAGGATTTTATCCTGCGAGCCGGGATCGGCTGAGCTCCCCACCCGCTGCTCCCCACCCCAACTCCACCGCACCATGTAAGGCAGCGGTTCTCAACCTGTGGGTCGCGACCCCTTTGGGGGTCGAATGACCCTTTCACAGGGGTTGCCTAAGACCATCGGAAAACACATATATAATTACATATTGTTTTTGTGATTAATCACTATGCTTTAATTATGTTCAATTTGTAACAATGAAATTGGGGGTCACCACAACATGAGGAACTGTATTAAAGGGTCGTGGATTAGGAAGGTTGAGAACCACTGTGAGGTCTGTGGATTCTGTCTCTGAGGCGGGCAGCCTGTGTGTGTGTGGAGGGCTCTGGTTGGCAAAGGGCCACTATGCACATATATAGGCAAAGTCCAGGTGTTGAGTGTGGAACAGGGGTCTCTGGGTCTCTTTGCCCCATGTTCCCAGCCTGACCTCGTTTGTGCATCTCAACAGGCTGCTGTCCGCCCCCCGCCCTCCTTCAGCCACTTAGGGCTCCGGGAGGCATCTGGCCCGCTCTTGAGGCAATTCTTGCTTCTCACCATCTTACACATGAAGCTCAAAATTCCCTTCCCCTAATACAACGGCAGGGTCGGGCCCATGGTAGATATTCCCCAACTACCAGATGAATGAATGAATGAGTGAATGAGTGAGCAACCCCTTCCCTGACTGGTCCTGCCCTTCTCCTCCCGATGCATTTGCTATAATCAACAGAGTGTCCTTAGCTTTGCTGGTAGCTCTACCCATTTCTTAGATGTATCTCCATAAGCTCCCCCTGGGGCAGAGACCAGGGCTTGGAAGTCTCTTGAGTCCTTCTTGTCCCTCCTCCCCACATGGACGTTATGTGTTGTGGCGTGTCCCATTCTTGCCCATGTTCCAGACACCTCTGAGGAGTTCAGCCAGCATGTTAACCAATCCCGGCTGTGGGCTCCAGCAACTGCTGGCTTATAAGAATTCAGGGCTGCTAACTAGAGGGGCCATCTCACTCCACAGTGAGTGCAGTGGGGGGACAGCACCCTCCCGCCAGCCCATCTTGTCACCCTACCCGCAACTCCAAATATGCAAAGCACAGCTGGGGGCTTCTCTCCCAGGAAGGCAAGGTTACCTGGGGCAGGAGAGGGGAAGCCAAGGTCATTTCCCACAGCCACGCTGCTGGACTTGGATTTCTGGGACTCGTATTTCAATCGATCTGGAAAAGGACCACATTCAGGTCAGGGAAGTGAACTCCTGGGCTGAGACCAAGGCGGTGGTTGGAGGCCAAACCCCTAGACTCGCACACAGGCACACACAAAAGATGTGCACACACGTCTGCCGGCTGTCAGGGAACCAGTGATATCACAGAAACTACTGCCCGGACAAGCACTGGAATGGTAGAGTGTCAGAACCAGGAGGACTCTGAAGATCATATCGTCTAACCCCTTTGTTTAAAAGGAAATGCTCAAAGACCCCCAGCACTTTTGCTACAGAACTGGGGCCGGCCTTGGGCCTCTGTCTAGCCTACCCTTCTCCCTGCACACCTTGTTCCTCCCCTATGACATGCTGTCAGTCACACACACCCCACTTGCCACTGTGACCCGTCAGACAGACCTGGCACAGCCCTCTCTCTGCACTCCACCCCCGCACACTCTCTCCCTGAAGGGAAAAGGCAGCCAGGCCGGAGAGCTGGGCCCCTGGGCCAAAGACAACCCAAACATCCCCAAAACTCCAGAGCCCCTGCTCCAACATCCTCCACTCGGGGGGGGCTCCAACTCTGGCACCCACGGACTAGTCACTGTTCCTGGAGCTCCAGACACATCATGCCAAGGCCAGTGCCTGGCACAGAGCAGATGTGTAGGGGAAAGAAGAGGGCCTAAGAGGGCACACCTCTCTTCCTCTGAATATGGGGGTGGGAGGAGGGGTAGCTGGTGATGCTGGTCCCCGTTTGGCAGGATTCTGGGGCTCCCCCAGGGATCATGTGGTGTGGGCCATGTCCCAGCCCTTGGCCTCCAGCCTCCTGTCTCGCCTGAGCCCCAAGGCTACAGCCAAGATCAGCCACTTCTTCCGCCACGGAGAAGGGGCACAGCGCCCCACTCGGTGCACCACCTCTCTCCAGGGCCAGCAGGAAGTCTCTGTTGCGCTGCAGCTCCTTCATGAACTCCTCGTTCTGCAGGAAGAGCGCGATCCTCTCGTCCTCCAGGTACTGCTTCCAGCGGCTCTCCTGGTCCCGGGGCCCGGGCCCGGCCGCGGGGGTCAGGCCTCCCTCTGTGTTCATGGGCTTGGAGCCCCTGGGGTTGCCCTGAGGAGGGGAGCGAGCATGTTGAATGCCTAGTCACGAGGGCACCCAAGCATAAACATCCGTGCACATCTGGGTGAACACCTGTCCTGTCCCAGGATCTTCCAGCCGCACCCTGGGACCTGCACCTCCTTTCAGGACCCAGTCACAGGCCCAGATCCAACTGCTCGGGCCACAGTCCTCTCTGCTAAGGAAGCAGTAAGGGCTCAACAATGACTTTTCCTCTCCTGGACCACCCCATGCCTTTCTCTATACCCTGAATAGTCCTGAAAAGTGATTTGCAAACTGCTCAATAGCCGACACACGATCCCCAAACTCAAAACTCTCGCTGCACCAGTGGTCTCAGGGTGCCACCCCCTCTGCAAGAGCCCTTGGGACATGCCCACCTCTGGGGAGAGGCGGCCTTGGCCCTTTCCCAGGAGAGGGAAGGAAGCCGCTCTGGCTCCCTGCCATTGGCTAGCCCCAGGCCCACCTCCCTCAGGCCAGAGTGTCCTCAGGGCTGTCACCTTCCTGGGTGGAACAGGAAACCTCCCAGCCCAGACAGGAAACGAGGCTTTCGCTTCAGCATTCTTTCCCTGCAAACCCAGGGCAACAGAAACAGCTCCGCCTGGGCTTAAATATCAGAAAGTGAAACGGGCTGACCCAAACTGTGGGCAAGCAGAGAGGCTGTGCGGCAGGCGGGGCCTCCCTCCATACCTGCATGCTGTCCAGCTGCTGGGGCAGGATGCGGAGAAAGTCGTCAGGGAGGTTGCCCAGCAGTGGCGGGTTCCAGTTCCGATAGCGCCTCTGGCTGGAAGGGGGTGCGGAGTCCAGCACGTCGATGCTGGAGGGTGAGAGGTGACAATGAGGAGGGAACAGTCAGGCCCCAACACGGGTGTCCTGGTCCGTCCCTCACACCAGGATCCTGCTCAGAATGGCACTCCTCCCTCCCGTGGCCTCTGCTGCTTCCACTCACAGCTGTGCACCACAGTGCCCTCGAGGCCTCTAAGACTCTAAAGCAGTGGTTCTCAACCTTCCTAATGCCGCGACCCTTTAATACAGTTCCTCATGTTGTGGTGACCCCCAACCATAAAATTATTTTCATTGCTACTTCATAACTGTAATTTTGCTACTGTTATGAATCGTAATGTAAATATCTGATATGCAGGATATATTTTCATTGTTACAAATTGAACATAATTAAAGCACAGTGATTAATCACAAAAACAATATGTAATTATATATGTGTTTTCGATGGTCTTAGGCGTTCGACCCCCAAAGGGGTCTCGACCCACAGGTTGAGAACCGCTGCTCTAGAGCTCTCTATTTGTGGCGCTTGTGCTGGATGGTGTGGGTGTAGGCGTAGATGTTTATAAACATCCTCTAAAGCAGCAGGGATCATGTCCTTTAATGCTTCTATCCCTAGCACCCGGCACCGTGTGAGCTCATGGCTGCTGAGTAACAGGTGTGCTCCAAATGAACCAACAGCCCAGCCCGCCCCAGGCCTTTATGCATGTCATTACGCAGGGGTTGTGGGGGGGGGAGGCATGAGGACACCAGGACCCCTAGAGAGTAGAGCAAATCCCGGCTCCAGTTCTGGCACAGCCACAAGCCAGCAGGGTGGTCTTGGGCGAGACCTGCTCCCCTCTGAGCGTCTCTCTCATCTAGAAACTGCTGCCTCCCTGCCCACGGGGTACAGCCCCGCTCCGGGCTCTTGAACAGCGCTCGGAAAGGCACACTGAGCAGGAGGTTCTTGTTCCAGGGGGCGCTCGGGGCTGCTCCTCAGAGGCCAGGTGCCTGGCAGCCTGGCAGGAGGTCTGTGCCATGCAGAGGCTACAGCCAGGAGGGGAGGAGAGGAAGAAAGGCAGTAGCCGTGCCCTCCCCATCCCCGGGCTCCCGCCCTGCCGCCCTGGGCCTGAGGGCAGCCTGGGGCCCCGCCAGGAGCTCCCCACAGCTCCTCGGTGGCCTGCAGCGTGGCAACCGCAGGACACGTGTTCTGCTGAATCCGGGAGTGACACACGCAGGAGGCAGCCGGGGGCGGTGGGGGCCACTTTGGCTCCAGGGCCTGGCTTTGATTTGGTCTCCAGCTCCAGGAATCCCGCGGCCCCCTCACTGGAGGGGAGCTTTTCCGGGCCGGGCTGCCGCTGCCTGTGGAAATAACTTCCTTTCCTTTTCTATTTTGGGCGGGTGGCCTGGCGGGGGCCAGGAGGAGGGGCGGGGGCGGCAGCAGACGAGATAACAAGCTGCTAAGTGCGCGGTGGGAGCGGCACAGGCAGACTGGAGCCAAGGGAACCCCAGCCTGCCTCCTCACCCCCTCATCTGGCTGCACAGAGGAGGGGACGGTCTGCAGAAGAGCGTGGCCGATTCCTAGGCAGCGTTGTGTCTACATCACTCTGCCTTCTGTCACTGTCGGAGGCTTCATTTTCTCTAAGGGCCTGAGAAGCAAGGGAGCGGGCACCCCATTCCTCGGGGGGCCTTGAAGACCAGCGTTGATGAATCCCAGCAGAGAAATCCTCTCCAGGGTCAGCACCCTTCCTTGGGCTTCAGGGTCTTTATCTGGGACACGGGTGCCCACCCCAACGCAACCACACCTCGAGCCACCCAGGAGAGCTGCGGAGGGCGAGCCCTGGAGTCCCACTGGACTCCTCTAGACATTTCACTGGAAAGCCCAGAGGGGAGGGGGACGAGGAGCGGGAGTCCTGTCCTCAGCTGAATCCCTGGCTGCTGGGCCCCAGGTCCTGGAGGAGGGGCAGGCCCCGCCCCCTCCTGGCCCTGGCACCCGCGGAGATGAGGTCAGCCCATAGCTGTGAGAGACAGGGGGGCCCTGAGCCCAGGCAGCCCAGGCAACTCCACTGTGGTCGGAAAGGAATGTCAGAAATGAGCCGGGAGGCAAATAAAAAACTTCCAAGGCTGTACTTTCAAGGGGAAAACAGCAGGTGGCCTGTGCAGAGGGGTCCTCTGGTTTCAGGGCCTGTCTTTTATTCAGAAGACAGGGAAGGACAGGCTGGGGGAGGGAAAGGAGAGAGAAGGCTGGGGAGGCTCCCCTGCCCTGAGCCTGCCCTTGGACCCCAACATTAGAACTCCACTCCCAATCAGACCTCCCGGTTTACCCGGGAAACAGACCCAGAAGGATTTCAGAGCCAAACCTTCCAGGCAGGATTTTTGGTAAAGCATGCACACTGAGGCCCAGCTGGGTCAGGCCCTCTCCTAGGGCACCCAGATCCTTCAGGCAGAACCTGGACCCAGGATCCCGGCATGCCAGGCACACTCCCCTGGGGTCACCCTGCCTGTCTGTGCCCCAGCAGGACAAGCTCCCTAACCCCACCCCATCTGCAGTCTCACAGGCACCCTAGGCCATTCCTCCCCCAACTTCCTACCCAAATCTGATCTCCACCAGCAGCCAGAGGGGGATTCTAAAGCACTAACCCCGTCACGGCACTCTCCAGCTTAAACACCCCGGCTGCAGGATAAAGCGCAGCCATGACCTGCTTGCCTCTCCAGCCTCACCCAGCCGTTCCATACACCCTGCAGTTCCCCGGATGACTCCCTCCTCCCTGCCTCCAGGCCTTGGCCCATGCTGTTTCCTTTGCCCGAATGCCCTCCTGTCCTCCGCTTCACCAGGTTGCAGCTTGGACATCAGCTCCTCGAGGCAGCCCTGCCCCCCTGCCCCCAGGTCTATGCCTCCCCCAGACTCTGATCTCCTTGCAGGGGGCAGGGGGAGGTGTCAAGGCAGTGGGGTGTTCATCGCTGCATCACACACATGGTTCAGCACCTCCATACTGCGGGTGGCTCGCTAAATGCTGGGTGGAGAGACTTGGGCTTAGCAGGGCCATCCTAGAGCAAAGGGGCACATGCTGGGAGGCTGGCACTGCCCCTTCTGAACACTGGCCTCTGAGGGAAGCCTCGCCACTGGTCTCAGTGTTCAGTGTTAAAGCTCAGAGGCCCACCGTGCAGCGGGGGTGGGCGGAGCAGTGAGCCATGATGGCAGTAGATCTGACCAGGCCTGGCACTCTGCTGAGTGCTCCACCCACAACTCTCACTCAATCCTTCCAACAGCTCTGAGGCGGGGATCAGCATTCCCATTTCACAGATGAGGCAAACGAAGCTCAGAGACAGTAAGTAGTGAGCCAAGGACCACAGAGCAAAGGCACCTAAAAGATCAGAAGTCAGGCAGCTGAAGGAAGTGGGGAGAGAGAGAGAGCATTCTGCTGTAGCTGATTCTCTAACTCTCTGTATCCACCCCCAGCCTAGCAAAGCCTTCAGTTCTGGGTCAGAGACTTGGCAGTAGATCTGACCAGGCCTGGCACTCTGCTGAGTGCTCCACCCACAACTCTCACTCAATCCTTCCAACAGCTCTGAGGCGGGGATCAGCATTCCCATTTCACAGATGAGGCAAACGAAGCTCAGAGACAGTAAGTAGTGAGCCAAGGACCACAGAGCAAAGGCACCTAAAAGATCAGAAGTCAGGCAGCTGAAGGAAGGGGGGAGAGAGAGCATTCTGCTCTAGCTGATTCTATAACTCAAGTTCTCTTCTCTGTATCCACCCCCAGCCTAGCAAAGCCTTCAGTTCTGGGTCAGAGACTTTTCAAAGCCACAGGGTCTGAACGAGGCCTCCTAAGCTTTGGTCTAGTGCTAAGGTCACCTCGCCCCCAATTGGGGCTCCCACCACTGCACTGCACCACCCCTGCTTCCAGCCCTACCCCACCCACTGCGGCTGAACACCCAGCCAGAGTAGGGGAGGGAGGACGTGGCCAGGATACCCACACCAAGTTTACACGGGGATCCTGTCTCTTACGGCCTGTTTTCCCTTCTGAAAAATGGGCAGAACCACTCTGCCTAATAGAAACTAGACCATTTGCAAAAACATCTTGGGATAAATGTTTTAAAAGTCAAAGGGAAATCATTTAGCCCCAATCCAGGCTGCAAGTCCTGCCAAGGTCTCACCCCAACCCACCTACTTACTCCCTGCCTCCCATCCCATTACAGCCTCCTAGTCCCACTTGTGATAAAAGGAGCCCAGCTTTGCTCCTGTCCCTGCCTCAAAACATTGCTCCCGTCCCTCCCCCATAATCTGCTAGGCCTCTCTCAGCTCCCCAAGATTCAATCACAGAGAATTTTCTCATCAGGGAGGCAACTGGACACAGCAATTAAGAGCATTGGTTCTGGAGTCAAAATGACCTGGGTTCAAATCCCAGCTCTGTAGTCTTGGGGGAATTATGAAACCTCTCTTAGGCTCGGTCTCTTTATCTGTAAAACGGGGATGACGGCTGTGCCCACCTCGGAAGTTGTTAGAGGATCTGAATGTGATGGCTTGCCAGTGCTTCGTAAATACATGGTAGCTGTTATTATCGTCTATACCTGTATGATAACAGAATTCTCCACTGCCACCGTCGGAGGCTCCCAAGATCCCCAGAAGAGAAGACCCACTAGGACAAGTCCCCTGTCCCATCATTCCGCCACCCCTTACCACCCCAGGCCTGAGTCATTCTCAAATCTGATCTCAGGAACAGCAGCTTTCAGGCAAAGAGACACCTGGGCTCCAGCAAGCCCCACCCCAAACATGAAGCCCAGAAAAACTAGCACCTCAGCGACCCAGGGGACCCAGCTGACAGCCAGTTTCATGTTAAATTTCCAAATTACAGAGTCCCTCACCTGGAAGAAGTCTCCAAGGACCTAGCAGTTT